AAATTTAATATTCTTATAAAGCTATTATAAAAATTAGCCTTTCTCCTTAGGCTAGGCTTTATTAAAAATTTACTAAGCCTTAGCCGTAGCCTTATAATTAAGCTATATCGAGCTTTAGCTATAGCCTTATAGCTAAGCTAGGCTCGGTTAAGTACCCATATACTAGCACTCTTACAATAATATATTATATATATATATATAAAACTAAAATATAATTACTCCTTATAGGACAAAAGAACTATAAAATAAGTTATATATTAATAAAATAAGGATTATATTAGATTATTCTAATTTAATATAACTTAGGGTCTAAATAATTATTTTAAATTAAAATAATCTAAAACGACCTAAAAAATAAAAAATATATTTAAGGACGAGATTTTTATATAGGATAGATTTAAGCCGGGCTTAAAGATAGACTTTTTATAGCTTCTTTAATTATTAATTTTGTATTAGATTTTACGATTATTTTTAGCTATTTTTATTAAAAACCTTTTAATAAGATTATTATTAATTATTAAAGCTTTATTTTATAGCTTATAAAATATAACTCCCTTTAAAGTTATTTAATAACCTTATTTATTATTATTTAGTCCTTATGGCCTAAACTTTTGTAAATTTACCTTATTATAATTAGCTGGCCGTAATATATATAAAATAAAATATAAATTTAAAATACTCGGTATTAAAATAAAGGGCGTTATTAATAAATAAGAATCGAGGTAATATAATAGGCTAGAGGGAGTCGGTCCTATTAAGGAAATAGTATTTAAAATAGAATTTTAATTTTATTTTAAAGCAATAAGGCCAATAATAGGATAATAACTATATTTTTTATAATAATTTAGATAATAAATTATTAATTAAGTTATTATATAATTAAAGAACGCTAACTCTATAAAATTAATTAATACTAGAAGAATTATTAATTAAAAAAGGTTAATAATATATGAATATATTATAGGATTTTACATTACTTCTACGTACTATCTCTTCTACTTATTTAATCGCGCGCACGCTTATATAATACTAGTGGATTTCCGGAATTGCGGGTCTCTGGTTAACCTAATATATAGTTCTTTTTTTATCATATAATTATTTTATATTTATATCTAGGTAATATTATTTGAAATAACCGGTTCGGCCTACTTATTTATTTAATTATAATAATTGATTATATTATTAATCCGGTTATATATATATTATATAGCTTAATAATAGGTTATATAATATCTTTATAAGGCCGGTATATAATATAGAATTTATAATATATATATATTTAAAGTAATAAATTAATATTATTTTAATTAATTATATATAACCGCCCCTTATCGAGAGGTTATAGGGTACGTATCTCCGTATTTACGTAATTATTAATTATATAAACGTAAAAAACATTAGCTATAGGTGGATTTAAACTACCTCCTTTAAAATCGCACTAAAAATTAGCCGAGACGCTCGGGCACTTCTAGGCTTATACTACTGAGCCACGTCGCTAATAATATATAAATATATTAGCGTTTTAAAAAATATATTATATTATTAAGGCTATATTCTATAGTTTAATAGCGTAGACTATATTAAGGTTTGGCTATTAAGGGTAATATATATTAGTATTTAATATTAAAATTAAAATAATGAAGGAAATTTAAAATAAAAAAATCATATTAGAGCGGAGTAATAGAGTTTAAATATATTATTAATTAAATTTCGAGTTAATTATAAAAGTAAATATATATACTGTTATAAGATATATGCCGCTATATTAATTTTGTATGCCTCTTTATTAACTCCCTAAGACTTATATTATTAATTAAAAATAATATTAAACTTATTAACTATCAAATTAATATTAAGACCTATAACGTTCATTTTTTATTTAAAAACAATTCCTAAATTTTATACTTACTTAATAAGACATTTATAATATTAAAACCGTTATTAAAAAAAAACTAACTATTTTCTAATAGCCGTTTCAATAAGGCTCTTTAATAAATAAAAATAAAAATAAGTAAAAGGAAAATAGGTAGAGGGTATTAATAATAGCTCGGACTTTAAACAAAATAATAAGCCCTTAAAAACTATAAAGGTGCCGGCAGGCAGGCACGAAGCCCCTGGCCGAGGAGCTTACTTAAGCGTACGTGTAGTGCACGTCTGGCACGTAGTGCTAGAAGTGACTGATCTTTTAGGTTGATTGGCAGGAGCGCAGCACACCACCTGCCCCCTTTATAATATATTATATAGCTATATTATATATTGTATTATATAATTTTCTTTAAAAGCTAATCCCGTTGTTAAGGTTAATTTTTCACGCCTATAAAGCTGGAAAAAAACTCTTATATACGCCTAGATAAGCTGCCCGGCTAGAGGCTTTATACTTGCTTGCCGGTACCTTTTATTACGACCCAACGTACATGACCAACCCAGAGGCCAGCTACCGGGCCACGGCGGCTATAGCACACTATATATATATATATATAAAACCGGGATATAATTACTCTTTATAGGACGGAAATACTATAAAATAAATTATATATTAATAAAATAAAGATTATATTAAATGAAAATGATTTAATATGCTGTAAGGTTTAATAATTAGTTTAAATTAAAATGATCCGGAATGACCTAAAGGATAAAAGATATATTTAAGGATAAGATTTATATATAGAATAGATCTAAACTAGGTTAAAAATAGACTTTTTATAGCTTTTTTAATAATAAATTTAATATTAAATTTTATAATTATTTTTAATTATTTTTATTAAGAACTTTTTTAATAAGACTATAATTAATTATTGAAGCTTTATTTACTTTATAATTTATAAATATAACTTTAAAAAAATTATTCATAATTACAATATATTATTATTTAATATTATAGCCTTAATTGTTATAAATATACCTACTATAATTAGCTAGTTATAATACCTTTATACTTATTTTACTTCTATTAACGAAAATAGGACATAGCCTAATTCCCCTCTCTAGGTATTATAATTTTTAATATAGAGATAGTCTAGTTATATAGCCTTATAGTTATTATCCTCTTACAAATCTACTATCATACGTACTAATGGCTATATACTCTAAATTATTAACGTAGCTTTTCTGAATAAGATTCAATACTAATATCAAACTAAAGTCAACTTTATACTATAGACTTCAATAACCTGTAAAATCATATCTAAGTATACTCCTTAATGGTCAGTTATGCTTTTATTTAAATAAGTAATAAAATAGTAAAAGTTTAGTTATTTCTAAAGTATAATTAAATTATAAGTTATTTGCTTGTATAAAACCCTAGACTCCCTCCATTACTATAATAAATGCTAGTTTGAAATATCACTTCTATATAGATATCGTAGCTTACCCCCACTAGTAAATGTCCTAACAGTCTATAGAAGTCTTAATGGGATGTAGAAGTCTTGATAGGACGTGACAGTTCCGCGATGCGGCTCTGCTCAGGCTTCGTGCCTCAGGCCACAATCGGCGATACCAACGCCCCGGCCTGCATCTTTGTACCAAGCTCATCTACCTCATTCCCGGGAACTTCGTAATTGTCGACGCGCCATTGGCAGCCCAAGCCCGTTCTATGTTACCATCCTTTCGCCCATACGCTCTTTCTACTCCAGACGACTTTCATCCTTCGGTCCCGACGCAATTGAATTGAGCTTGGCCCATCATCATGTCGACCCGTCAAGCGGCACTGTGAGTCAAAGATCAACGACTGACAGGGCAGAGCCGACATGCTGACAGTTGTCACGACAGGTCGCTTTACCGGCGTTCGCTGAAGCTGGCTCTCGACTGGGCTGTTCATCGCCACCTCTGGAGAGGCCAGGCGCTGTACATACGCTCCTTGTTCGAGGCCAACCGATCCGTGACGGACTCCAGACAAAAGAGAGTGAGTAATGCGTCGGGCAGAGACTGGGAATGAGTTCGGAGCGACGAATGCTGATATGAACTTTCACAGGAGCTTTTGGCCCAGACAGAGAAACTGCTGTCGAAGTGGAAGCACCCAGAGCCCTACGTGCACCCGACAGCACCCGGCGGTTCGTCACATCCTTCTCCGAGAAACGACAGCCCTCTACAAATAGCGCAGACGATGCTGATGACGATTCTACAGGTTCCAAATTCGAGCGCAACCTCCGAGCACCTATCCTTGATCGTGAGTCCAATCCGTGACGAATATTGCACCACCCCCTCCTAACCGAGAAATAGCGCCACCCCCATTGAAGTTCTGAGCGAGGAGTGAAGGCACGGAATGGAGAAAGACTGGGATTACAAAACACGACGTTGATTTACACGACATAGAAATTCCATGTGGAAGCTTCAATGCGCGATTCTGACATCACCGTACCGGGGGTTGTGGACCGGGACAGTTGATGCACCATCGTAACAAATATGTGCCGTCTGGCCAAACCTAGCCCAGCGGCCGCCAACGCGCATGTCGTTCAGCCCGCAAGCATAGCTCACCCGATCCTTACGAGCCTGTATAATACAATACCGTCATCCGATTACTATAGACATCAAATTGTCACGTCGTATCAAATAGTGGCACAGGAAATCGGCCATTGGATATTTCCGCCAGTCTCTTTGCTCTATAGGAGGGAACAACCTATAAGACTGATAACATATACGCCCTGGTAACGAATTTAGAGAAAAGCAGCTGCATGCGCATGCGGCACATCTGTCACCGATGAGCCTGACTAAATATCCGCTGACACATCTTCTCAGACACTTGACTCGACGGTCACCGATAGCGAAGCTGAACAGACCCGTCAGAAACAAACTCACACACCGAACCAAGAAAGGCAGTATCACCCAATTATGCGAAACATGATCTTCAAAAGGTATTCTCATTCGTAACCATAGCTTCCTGCCGTGGTATTATTGTACAACCCAAACGTGAAAATCAACCGTGAACCCTGAACCGTGACCCCGATGTCATGACAACCCAAAGCAGCCGACCAGCACGAAAAAAACCCAAACTAGACACCCGTTTACAACTCTTGGCTCTGGTTCTTGCCAGTCTTGCCAGTCTTCTTGGGCAGCAGGTCTTGAAACTCTGTTAGCAATTGACGGCGAAACCGATGCGAGGTCAACTTACTCTGGTGAATGTTGGGCAGAACACCACCCTGGGCGATCGTGACGTGGCCGAGAAGCTTGTTCAACTCCTCATCGTTGCGGATGGCGAGCTGAAGATGACGAGGAATAATGCGGGTCTTCTTGTTGTCGCGGGCGGCGTTGCCAGCAAGCTCGAGAATCTCAGCAGCAAGGTACTCGAGGACTGCGGCGAGGTAAACGGGGGCACCAGCACCGACACGCTGGGCGTAGTTGCCCTTGCGGAGCAGACGGTGAACACGACCGACAGGGAATGCGAGACCGGCCTTAGAGGAACGACTAGAGATTCAAGGTTAGTAAACGAAACTCAACCTTGTGATGTTGGAAAAAGGCGCAAGGGAATATGCCGCCTTCCAAAAAGCTTCGGAATAAGGAACTTACGATTGCGCGTTCTTGGAACCGCTGGCCTTGCCGCCGGACTTTCCGCCTCCAGTCATTTTTGAATTTGGGGTTTGGGGTGAGTTGTGGGAGAGAGTTGGGTATTGAAGTAGACGCGTAAAAAGCGACTTGACTGAGTGCTGGCTGTGAGTTGGGGATGGAAAAGTGAGATGAAGATGGAAGAAAGGGCGTTGATGGTGGGGAGTGAAGAAGTTAAGTAGTTTTCGCGTTAGAGGAGCTCAATCACGGATCACCAACGCGCGATTTGGCGCTAAGCCCAAACCAGAAAATCGGTGTTGTGGTAGACTGAATGGTGCAGTGCTGCGGTGCATCATTTTTCTGGGCCCCGGGCTGGAAGGCAGGTACGTACCTTATCAGTCCTGCCGCCCGCAGCAATGCCGCTTGTTTGGTGGACGCAAGCTAGGTACAGATAAGCCTCAAGGCAGGCTGCCAGACGCGACTTCCACGACAGGGCCCCAAGGCAAGGAAGCGATTGCGTCCAGATGCGATCAATGCAAGGAAATAAAACCCCCCGCGGTCCCGCTCCCCTTTCCATCATCATTGCCGGGCCCTACTCACGTCCCTTTTCCCCTTCCACCTTTTTTTTCATTTGCACTTTCCGCTTTTAACCCCCCCCCCCCCCCCCCCCCCCCCCCCTTCCCGCGCGGGGTTCCGATTTTCGAATTATTTGACTGGCCAGGAAAAACCGTCACCGAGCCACGCCTTGATCACTTTCTCTTGCCTAATTTTCCTCCCCTCCCATCACTCACATTTCTCTGAACGAATCGCCACGACACAATCAGTTGGAGAGAGTATCACTTATCGGACTGATGCGACGCACTCACTTCTCCTTCTTCTGTCGACTATGTGAACACAATTTTTTTTTTGTTCTGGAGCTATAGTGTTTTGATGCAAGACAATACGGCTCATTTTCACGCATAGCTCCGACCATCCAGAGCATTTAAATTATCAGAGGATTCTTTTTGTGAAAAATGGTTGACCAAGTATACCGCTACTACTTTTGGTGTCAAAGTTCCGAGCTGAGGCCATCTCGAGGCATGTTAGTCAACCATGTCCTTACTCTGATGACCTGCGATATCTTTTGTTCTCTTCCCATTTTGCATTTTGTTGAAATGGAAAGCCTTGCATCTCAACTCCTTTATGCGAACTATAGATTTAGTGTCCAGTGACATTTCGACCCCATATGACTTGCATCGAGATGGATCTCAGATCTACTGGAACCCGCTGTACATCACGAATACAGTCCGATACGTGTGTTCATGTGAAGAAGCCTAATGAGACCCAGGCACCTGGGCCTCATATGGCCCATCGCTCGGCTCCATCCCGTATCGGGTCCGGAGAAATCTTCAAATCGAGAGCCCCGCGTCCTGTCTGACCCCGTCGGATAGAGCCTCCTAGAGCGCCTTATATAGCGACCCCTGCATGCTGCTCGTGGTGTTTCTACAGTAAACGGGCCCAGCCTTATAATGGCACTGAGTGTGGAGGGGTCCCGATTTGTACCGTAGAGCCCACCGCGTTACCATTGACCGCGTTTCCAGTGGCTGAAGAGTGGACGAAGTTTCTCCTGCTAAACGGAGTACGCCATCATGCAGGCTAGGTATTTGTACTCCACGTTCGATACCGCGGGCTCATGCCTTGCCTTTGTCGCCAGGTAGGGGTCGTTCTACCTCAGGTGTGCACGAAATATGGATCTCAACGAGCAGAGAACCTAGTACAGAATTTCACTGAGCCCCCGACAATTACAATAAAGACGTTTAGACCTAGGCCACTTAGAAATCGAGGTTGCAGGCTAGTCGGCTGCCCCCGTGGTCAACGACGCAAGCTGCAATCGACGCGTCGAGAAAAGTGCGAATCTCCTGCAAACTCAGAGGCTGCTCTCGGTGTCACCATTCCCCGAATGCACGCGAAGAGAAGCTCTATCTTACGGTGCCGTGCATAAGGCGTGTTTCTATCTCCATCTAGAGTGCTAAACCACCTCTGGCAGTATGGGCACTACATAGGCACATGTCGAACCGCCTGAAGATGTCGACTCAGCGGCGCATTGGCACGGGGACCCGAACATTCTCTCTGTTCTCAACTTATCACGTGTGTTGGAGAGATCCGGTTGACTCTAAATTGTTACTACGCACCAGCACTGCGAGAGCCATATTCTCGAGTCGTCAGTCAACCTCCCTAGACAATAAGTGGTGACTCGTGAGTAGGTGACCCGGCGAGTATTCGTGATGGGGACTGTTGGTTCGTTCGTGATGGGATGCTGTTATTGGTTGTAGCCCGTTCTTCAAGTCTCCCCTGCCCGCTTGGTGATACGCGAATTAAAAAAAAAATACATTGAGCGTCCCGTCACGTATTTGTTTTTTAGCGCGAACGCGTATGAGCACCCCAGTCCGGCAGCCGCTCTCGTGGGCGGTGGTCCTTCCCTCCATATTCCAGACCCGCTTTCCCGGTTCCCAGCCAACCAAGACAGCCGATTCCCCTTTTACCAGGCAAAGGCAACACCAGTGCACGCCCCCGGTACCCAGCCCAGGGCCTCAGTGTGCCGCTGCTACTGGTAACTGACCACCCACCTGGGCCACCCCTCCCCAAAATCACTCTGTCCTCGCATCAAATCAGTAACGCCGCAGGAGCCCGTCGCGTCCAGCTACAAAAACCCAGCCCACCCCCCCAAACTTCTTCCTGCCACATCAACTCTTCCTTACTCCATCATCCAGCTTCATCCACGGTCGCCAGTCGCAATCCATTTCAACCAACTTACTCACCTACTCATTTTTCACCTCCACTAATCCAAACCGCAAAAATGCCCCCCAAGGCCGCCGACAAGAAGCCCGCCTCCAAGGCCCCTGCCACTGCCTCCAAGGCACCCGAGAAGAAGGATGCTGGCAAGAAGACCGCCGCCTCTGGCGACAAGAAGAAGCGCACCAAGTCCCGCAAGGAGACCTACTCCTCCTACATCTACAAGGGTGAGTGGCATCGATGCCTCGCGACATTAGTCGACGCGTCGCGTCTTCCACGATATCCAACACTTTCAATACAACGTATTCTGACGCGATCTTCACAGTCCTGAAGCAGGTCCACCCCGACACTGGTATCTCCAACCGTGCCATGTCTATCCTCAACTCCTTTGTCAACGGTAAGTAAAACATCGCAATGCCTATTGATGTGCATTGTTCCTAACGCGGCACTCAGACATCTTCGAGCGCGTTGCCTCCGAGGCTTCCAAGCTTGCCGCCTACAACAAGAAGTCCACCATCTCCTCTCGCGAGATCCAGACCTCGTATGTCATCATCCTATACCCGAAAGTCAAACCAGCTAACCCTTCCGCAGTGTTCGCCTCATCCTGCCCGGTGAGCTGGCCAAGCACGCTGTCTCTGAAGGCACCAAGGCCGTTACCAAGTACTCTTCTTCCACGAAATAAGGGTGCTTGTACTGCTTTTCTTTTCGGGCATTGGATTTTACTTGGCATTTGGGTGTCATGATGAGACCTGTCAAGGTTACCAATATCCTTGGGGTCTCTTAATGCGTTACGGATGGTTTGCTTTTTTGGGGGCAATGTCTTCACGGTCAAACGGGGTTCGCGGGTTGTACAATACACCTTGAGAATAGGGTTTTCGGACGAATGAAATCGTACACATGAACATCAACAAAAGTTTTCTCGCCATTGCCTATGTGCTCCCATGCGCGCATCTACTAAATTGAGAGCATAGGTTTCCGTTTGGCCCGCGAGCTACTTGGCACAACAGAACAAGCAATATTGAACGCACCACGCATGACAACCAATTGCAGCGCGACAACAACGATGCCTGTTATCCGAGCCCGGCCTTGCTACGTTTGACAACATGGGCGACAGGCTGCAGAATGCCTTTGTTGTTAAGCGCGCCTAGTGCGGTTCCGCTACTCCAGCCCATTTTCTCGAGCATCGCGCGACCTTTATTTTCCTGGCTCAACTCTGGCGCGGACCCTCCGACGACCTCACCATCCCGATAAGCGACGCCAGCGTGCCCGCCGCCACCTCCACGCCGAGCCGATTGCCTGTGCACGGCGGCTCGCACTGCTGAATCGTTGCGGGGGAAGTATTTGCGACCGACCCGAGCAATGGCCATATCGAAGATCTCATCAGCAAATTTGGCGGTCCTGAAAGTCCGGTGGAGCATGGGTCGCCTTTGATCACCCGACCCTGTCGACTTGGATTTGATATTGAATTTGCTGGCCAGTTCGTGAATCACCTTCCGAGCATGATTGTCCATGGGCGGCAAAGTGAGACTGCGGCAACAAGTCAGCTTTCAGTATATCGGGTGCACTTGAAAGGCACGGAACTTACCTAGGTTGCGTGCCCAAGAGGAACGTCCTCAGCTCATCGGCGATTTGTTCAAGCCCCATCCCGTGCGGGTATTTGACTCTGAGATCTTCCGGGTTGGCATGTTTACCTAACAGACCTTGAGTACGCAAGGCCTGGCGCTCTTTCTTCCTCTCGGCCTTTTTCAAGCGGTCATTCTTCCACGCGGCCTTCATCTTGCCCTCTAGCTCGGAGTCCGAAACGTCAAATACGGGAACCTTGCCTCTGGCACCCTTGCCCTTCTTGGGCTTCAGAGCCGGGCGGCTCCAGTCCATGAAATCGAAATCGTCGATCTCATTCGCAAATCTGTCTGCAGCTGATGTAAAGATATCGTCGTCTTGGTCGCTTGAATCCGAATGCGGCGATGCGTCTTCAGCATGGGATTGCTCGAGTGATGCCAGATAGGACACATCCGTCTCAAAAATGCCTATCAGTGCATGATCATCTTGCGTGCTTTTGCCCCTTCCGGATCGCCTCTGTGTAGTACGGATAGGCCTCTTGTCGCTCGCTCGAGGAACCTCTCCGGCATCTGCTGACATACACTCCGGATCGCTGTTGCCGTCTGATGACTCCTTAGTCTTGCTCGTGGCTACAATGGTCTGGAACGAGTCATCGATACCGTCGGACTCACTCAAAGAACCGCCAATGTCACGGCGAGAGTAGGCTTTCGCAGGCATCAGGGCTTCGTCCTCGCCATATTCCCTCATGTTGGCAATATAGTCAGCAACCAAGTCATCTTCCTCCTGTCGCTTCAAATCTTTGACGGCATTTGGACGAGATTGCTGTATAGAGCTTCCCGCGGTCTTCACAGGCACATTTTGGCGGCTGTCTTTCCTCGACTTGACCGTCTTCTCCAGGACGTTGATCTCCGTGGAAATGCCGCCCAGGTTGAAGGTTTTCAGCTTTGATTTGGCCTTGGACTTTGAACTTTGTCCATCCCTGGGGACCTTGTTGCGACCTCGGAACAGAATGACCTCCTCACTCGAATTGGAAGGCGCAGGCGACGGAGAACGAGTCGGAGTTCGATCCACAGATGTGTCAAGCAGTTGATTCTCTCCCACAACGTCGAAGAAGAATGGAAGAGGCGATGCTGTATCCTGTGTGACGGGAGCCTCAGCGCCAGTGACGTCATCCGCTCGAGGGATCATAGCCTGTTCTGCCTCTTGCGGGCCTAGAGAGGCATCTGTAATTTGTACGGCATCATCAACCGGTGTTGCCTCGTGGTTGAGGGCTTCGTCAAGCGAAAAGGCAGGCTCAAGTTCGGTGGAAGGTGTATCGGCGGCTCGATCATGGGTAGTATTTTGTCCATCGGTTTCCGCTTGAGGTCTGTTTGTAAACCCCACCTCATCCTTCTGTAAGATGCTCTCTAGTTGTTTGAGGGGCTCTGCGGCTCCAGTATTGATAAAGGCAACCGGCCTATGGCGTAGTTTTGAATCACTGCTCCAGGGTGACGAGCGATGAGCGGTGCTGCGGGCTTCGTCTTGCAATGTGAAACCTATGGCGAACCTGGTTAACTCATACGTCGCAAATGAGAGGTACTTTCAGAAAAGAATTCTGATCAGGATGGCATATACTGACCGGCTGAGGCCATCGCAGGAATGAAGCTGGGTGCATGCCGCTCTGTGCCACCAGGAGGGCGAAAGCGAGGGGCATTGCGTGGTGGCGCACGAGCGCCACCTCTTCTTCCACCGCGCGGCATCGCTGCTCACGCGATGCAGAGGCTTCAATGAAGTCTCGTCCAGATATGCGGTCTCTGGGTAGTGAATGAGCAGTTCTTGTCGACTGGAAGACACGGTTGTGGGAGCTCTGAGCCTCACCTTTTGCTGAGGTCGGAAAGCATGTGGCAAGCTAGCTTAAAAAATCCCTTCTATCCGTCCCTGTATTATAACACAAAGTGGGGGGTGGGGACCTAGGCACCGGGGGTAAGGTACCTCAGGTGCCACGGGTGCTTACCTACTTGGAGAAGCACCGTAGAAGTTGATACCTTAGGTTTGCACGAAAGCCTCCGAGAGTTGCTGAGCACTATTGCAGCTGTTATCGATAACAAAAGCTTGGACCGGGCACAAATCATTGGCCACAGGGCAAAGTATCCGGATACATGCCTTGCGGACAAGATCCAGCGCCTTCCGAGGTAAACGCTTCGAACCGTAAGTACTCTGTACTTATCGCATTAGTTGTCGATCAAAAGAGGACCTGGGCCGCCCTCCCCTCACCAGGGCACCTAGCGTGGGGCATCATGCCTCCCTACGGATACAGGCTCCTTACTGTGCAACGGTACTACCTGAGTGCCACATCAAGAGCCCCGCTGTGTTCGGCCGATGCGTCACAGGGCCTGTCCGCCTGTCACCGGCTCAGATAGCTGAGAACCTGCGCTGCAGGTGTTCCTTCTGGTTACGTAGAGTTCCTTTCTATCACGCAAGGTAGTCTGGCTGTGCTAGCTTGTCTGCCTATCCATTCACGGTACCTACCTCCCCGTCGCATGCCTCGAGTCGAGATTGCCATCCCCCTTACTCTTCCATCATCTCCCGACAGACAGGCCGACCGACTTATTACGTTGATCATCTATCACGCCTGCGGCCACGCATCCGCCTGATTTCTAGTGTAATCGCCCAACTCTCAAGCTTGCACTGTCTGTCATCTGCAACATTCGCCCTTCTGTCTGCTTTTGACTTCTCCAAAGTCGTACTTACAGCTGTCAGAAGGAAGGACCGCTAGATTACCTTTGTTGTCGCCTGCGCACACGAGATCAACTTACTCAAGGACGAGTCATTCGATATCGTAGACAGGCTTTGCAGTCGAACCTATCCGCGATGGCTGCGGTAGACCTCGGCCGATACCGTCGCATCGTCCAGATGTTTTGGGATCCCGAACCCACCAACGACCATCAGAGCGATCTTCCAGTTTGGTGCTTGGGTCGTTCTTACAAGCTGAATACCAAGGCTACAAAAGAGAAAGATACAGACCATCGAAGCCAAACCCCTCCGTCGACCGAGCCAACCGAACACAAGCCAAAAGCCTCACAGGTGTTGGCGACAGCCTCGGCCTCAGCCAAGGCCCCGGAAACCCCCCCAGATTCTGTGTCCAGTAGCTTTTCGTCTTCGCTTGCTTACGATGAGGATTACCTGGAGCAGGACGGCGGATGGCCATCGGCGTTTCTCGACGATTTTGAGTCCAAGTTTTGGATGACGTACCGATCAGAATTCCAGGCCATAGCCAAATCTACAGATCCACGAGCCTCGTCCGCTTTATCATTCTCAATGCGTATCAAAAGTCAACTGGTGGATCAAAACGGTTTCTCGTCTGACAGTGGCTGGGGATGCATGATCCGGTCAGGTCAAAGCTTACTCGCGAACGCGACGGCGGTTATCAACCTAGGGCGCGGTCAGTTGCTCTGGATACCTCAACAATCACTTTTGCTATAAGTGCCTTTCGCTGACTCTGCTGGTAGGATGGCGACGAGGTGATAAACCCGAAGAGGAGAGAAAGCTGATTTCCCTATTCGCGGACGATCCGAGGGCGCCTTATTCCATCCACCAATTTGTTCAACACGGGGCAGTGGCATGTGGGAAATACCCAGGAGAGTGGTTTGGCCCCTCGGCCACCGCTCGCTGCATTCAGTACGCCTACATTATTGTTCCTAGATGCGGAAATGCAGGCTAATTTCCTACCCCAGAGCCTTGGCCAATGCTCAAGAACACCCGCCTCTCCGAGTGTACTCCACCGGAGACGGGCCTGATGTCTATGAGGAGAACTTCATGAAGATTGCTAAACCCGAAGGTTCTCAGTTCCATCCGACACTCATATTGGTTGGCACGAGGCTCGGAATTGACAAGATTACCCCGGTCTACTGGGAGGCTCTCATAGCCGCACTACAAATGCCACAGTCGGTGGGCATTGCAGGGTAAGTACCTCAAACAAAGTCAAGATATGGTGTACTCATTCATGGCTATTACAGTGGCAGACCTTCCTCTTCCCACTACTTCATTGGCACACAAGGTTCTTACTTATTTTACCTCGATCCGCACCATACTCGACCTGCCCTTCCCTTCCACACGGATCCTTCTCGCTACAGTGAAGCAGATATTGATACAGCCCATACTCGACGCTTACGCCGGCTTCATGTCCGGGAGCTGGACCCCAGTATGCTTATTGGTTTCTTGATTCAGGACGAGGACGACTGGGCCGAGTGGAGGCGTAACGTGAAGCACGTCCAAGGAAAAGCAGTGATTCATGTAGCAGACTACGACCCTGTGTCGAGAAGCGGAGGAGGAGAGCGGGACAGCGCCATTGATGAAGTGGAAACGCTTAGTGACGATGACGGCGACACCATCTTGGACGCTTGAGATTTTCCGGCGTATGCTACGATCCTTCAGTCAGGATCCAAGACCGAAATCCATGGGCGTTGGAAACGCATCAATGTACATGGCCCGATACAGGGCTTCCTCACCTCAAGCCACTGGGCTAGGGATAGGTTACATCCCGATTTCAGCGATGGTCGCATTATTGGCGTAAAGGATCCTTACTTTGATCACGAGGGTGGGCGACACAGGATTGGTTGGGTATGGACATTGATTCGATTTGGGGTGCGACTTCGCTTTTCAAACGTTGGATAATCGTCTAAGGCAGCTCAGTCTTAAGTACAGATATTGACTCAGCGTCTCTTCTTCTTGGCACCCGCTGGGGCTTTTGCATTCGGTGCTGGCCGGGCGTGATTAAGATCGCGAATGTGACTGAAGAGCTGGCTTTTGGAGGGAAACGATGCATTACACACAATGCATGTATTCTACGGGTCGGGTGTCAGTGATCAAAAGCGCAATTATTTTTGGTTCCATCCAGAAGGGGACTTACAGTGTTAGTTTCGGCATCCTCCACTGCTTGGCGTGCTGCTCTCTTTTCACGTTTCGCCTTGGCCTTCCCTAACTTCTTTGGCTGTGGTCCGTGGTCACTATCATTGTCATCGTCAAGTGACAAAGCTTCTAGACTGGCTGATGCAGTCTGAGCAGCAGCAGAAGCGGCAGCAGCAGCAGCTTTTGTGCCATCACCCTGGCTCGCCCTGGTGAGAGTAGGATCGTCCGCGAATAACCTTTGCTCAACCTCGGCACGCGAAGCATACTCGTCATCTCCGATATTGTCGGACGACGTATCAGTGAGCTCTGTCTCATCGATTTGAGAGGCTGATTCTCCCGGTGTGTCATCCTTGCCCTTGACGGCGTCTTCTTGACCACGTTCCTGAGAATCAACCTCCTCCTCCTCCCCAGATTCGTGGCTCGGCATCTCTTTCGCAGGCGCGATAGGAGCGTCGCGTAGACCCAGATCCATATCTTCGTTCTTCATTTGGCGCCTCAAGTACTGCACTGCCTTTATGTGTTTTTTGCTCCTCTCATGTGCCTCGAATGATTTCTCGCTCTTGAAAGTCTTGTTGCATACAACGCATTCGATCTCCTCTACCTCTGATTCCTCCTCCTCGCTGCTTGAGAAGTGGCCGGCCGCGTCGCCATCCTCCCTCGCCTGAGCCCAGTCAGGAACGAAAGCCTCGGATAGCTTCTCTTTATTGGCGGCACGTGAGCGTGCGGCTTGAGCGGCAGCGGCGGATCGTAAAGACTCCTGGCGTTCGGCAGCTGTTTGAGTGTTTGGAAGATAACGAGGATCGCGTTTTCGAACAAAGGTGACGAGGAATCTGACTGCTTCGTTGAATTCTCGTATGGCTTCATCACGAATCTTCTTATTTTCCTTCTCCATAGCACGCCTGATACGACGATCTGGGGCCTCTACGAGTCGGTATTCATCCTTCCATGCAAAAGTCTTGCGAGTCGAGAAGCTCGCCCAGGCACTGTAGAAGGCCTTGACAGTGTGCTCATAGCTGTCTGTAGAGGAGCCAAAAGTGGGATAATCTGGAGTGTCTCTCACGTCATAGACGCCAGCGGCGATTTCCTCGTCAACAAGATGGTCGAATGTCGCCTTCGCGATGCCGAAGAACCCTGTAGGACCGTCCGTGAAGGGAACGGTGGAATCAAAGTGGCGAATGAGGGAGAATATATCTTCGGTGGACGTGAGCTTCACATTGTTGTACTCGGGAGTACTGCCTAAATCGGTCGGATCGGTCCCACGCAAGATAGCTTCGCGATGAGAGTCGTACCAAGCTTTTTCCTGGGGATCGGCGAGGACTTCGTATGCTGCCTGGATTTCGGCGAAGCGACGGGTCGCGTTCAGGACATCGTGAAAGTTTCGGTCCGGATGAAGCTCAAGTGCTCGTTTTCTGTAAGCTTTCTTAATTCTGTAGTCCCGAGACCGATTAGTACAAGTTCAAGAGCACTGGAAGCGAAGAACGAGCACGTACTCGTCGTCAGAAGCGTCGCGCTCAACTCCAAGTAGCTCATAGTAACACGTCTTGACGGGTTGGGATGAGCTCTCGCTCTGGTCTCGGCCAGAGGATTGTTGAGCGCCCATGGCACGTCGAAGACACTATGGAGCGTAAAGAGAAGTGGGTGGCTAATTTGTCCGCTAGAGTTGGTCTACGAAGTACCTGTTGATGTGGGAGCTGCCACGTAATAGTGTGATGGAGCCAGTACGTGTTTGTTGAAAGCTGGCGACCGGTCGAACAATTCGGAGATGCTGCTCAATTAAAAACAAGTGACCAAGATATTCAGCGGGTCAAGAACATCAGGAATGATCGCAACAGATGAAGGGAATATGTAAGTTAGCCCCGTTAGGTAAGGTATTTCCGTAAGTACGGATAGAACTTCGTTGTAGTGCTTGGACTTTAGGTAATAATTCTTGAACCGACTTTCTTTTTTTTACAGGTGCCCCTCCATACTGTACCTTATGCCCCGCAACCCCTCATTGTCTTCCGTCCCGGGCCAGATAAGATAAGAAACCAAGGGTTGTCGAGGTCGGAGGTAGTAGGTACCGCGACAAGGTACTGGGTACTTATCCATCCAGGTTCGGAGCATACATCTACGTTGCCTTGTCGCATGGATATAGTCATACTCTGTATTCGTACCTATTCGTACGATGACAAAGACGAACAATGACTCTCGCTTGGTCCACCTGGTATGGCAACGTGCCAAGTCTGAGATTTGTGACTGGACCGAGTTGCAATACGCAGCATTAGAGAGGAGCTACTTTTCGACTGGATTAAATGCCACCCTTTTGTGGGTGTGCTTTGGGTGAGATATCTTCAGATGACTGACGCCATGTACGGAAACCACAGTCTGCATAGCTGGGACTGATGCAGGTAGGTAGAGGTAGGTATCTGAATCCGTACTCCGTACACTAAGCAAGTCTCGCGTCATGCAAACTTGGAACTTGCAGTGACTTGAAAGGTTGGAATCCTGCAGACAAGGGGGATGGTACCCGTTGCGACGTTTTCATACTGTAGTTTCCCTATACATATAGGTTGGCCCATCCGTGTGACTGTATCTTGGGACGGTCTCGTCAGGTAAGGTACTGTACAGACCGGGTAACCCACCAACTCTGCCCGATCCCCTACTGCACTTTCTTGATGTTACTCCAAGCATGCCTGCATGTATCCATGAGCCTAGGTTCTACGGAGACAAGTCCATTACCTACCAAAGGTACCTACCCACTACCTACCTAGGTACTGTATCCCGGTCGTGATCTGTTCTCGTCTGCCCCAGACTCCGATTAGGTATTCACCTATCGCCTTACCTTGCCTTACCTAATACCTGAAAAAGACAAAGGACTGACGAGAAGCAACAAGCGAGGAGCCACTGTCGGGGATGGGATGGGATGGCGTAAGGTAGGCACGCACGGTGTAGGCACCCATGCCATGCCCTCCCCCCTCCTCGCCTTTCCCTCCCTGTCCTGGTTGTTCGACAGCATGGTCCAGCCCAGCCTAGCCCAGCAAGTCGAGGCCGGTGACAGGAAACCAATTTAGTTACGTACTTTTGCGTGTCTGTGACTGAAATTTTATATAGTGCAACTACGCTGCTGACCCTTTATCCGTACCTATCTTTTCTTCACAAGCCCCCCAACCCTCTTTCTTGACCATTCGTCTGTGAATCCAGGGCTATCCTATCCACCCCTCGGAGAGAAAGCCATGTCTTTACACCTTGCCAAGACACCCGTCCGAGTATCGAGTATTGTTGCACTGCAGATCCGACCAAATTGAATACGCCATGAAGTTTGCACACGACTTTAAGGAAACGCTTAGGCGGCAAGGTAAGTCTACTAGATGCCTTTTTCTTATCCGTATTTCCTCTCAAATTCCATATCTTCAGCTCACAGAGACGGGCGTCTCATCCTCATCCCCCTCCTTACGTTACCTGTTCGTCTCATCTCAGATGCTCTGCGGGAATGAATGTCCTCTTCAGAAGAGACGATGCATTGACTGACGCTGCTCAACTCCAGACTTCCCGCCTCACTGGATTGATCAGGCCATCCCATATGGCCAGCTGAAGAAGGTTCTCAAACGTGTCGCCAGGGAACTCAAGGATTTGGGGCTTGATCCTGAGACTCTACGCCAACTTCTCGACCCGGCCAATGATTCGCCACTGGCCGCTAAATACCGTCTCAATGGTAAACTCTCTGCCCCCTCCCGCCCAACGGTGTTCGGATCGCCGTCACCCCCCACCTCTACCACAACGGCTAACTTGCACACACAGCTGCCGGGAACTCAAAGCTATTGAGGCCAAAGCTGACTGTCTTGGTGCACATGCGCGACGGCAATGCTATTGATGCATCGCTGACGCCCGCGTCCCGTTCCCTCATTGAACGCATCGCCGCCTTGCAGTCCCACGATCCAGGTCAACCGATCCCGGCCGCAGCTCATGAGGAGGCCGTACCAGCAAAGTCGCCAGTTTCATCTGCCGAGTCTCTTGCCAATGCTGAGATTGAGTTATCAGACACCCAGAGTTGTCTCCAAGTCCAAAGCCACTTACTGCCTACCGAGCACTTTGAGCGAATCGAAGTTCCACTTGTCTTTGATAGTGAATTCTTTGATATCCTGCAGAGCGATGTCAACAACTTGGATGCACTTCAGGCAAAGGAAGAAAAGGCCATGGTGACAGAAATCGTTGCCCTGAGACAGGAAATTTCGCATTTGACAAAACCCAGCCGACTCTCCAAGAGCGACCTTGCGAGGTGGCGCGCCATTTTCGAACTGTATCTGGACGCCCAGGTCTTCTTCTCAACCAATGAGCAAGATCACGGGTCACGAACCAGCCAGACGGCTGCGAAGCAGCTTCAGTGGTTCCAGGAAGAAATCACAAAGAGGAATCTCGTCAAATCATTCAAGATTGCCGAGAGTCGCGAAGCCCTGGTTCGCTTCTTGAGTCTCAACGCCGTTCTCCTCAAAAATTTGCAGTTCCAGGAAATTAACCAGGTTGCCATCTACAAGATTCTGAAAAGTGAGCCTCGCTCCTCCCGTTACCACTTTCAACCTACTTTGATATTCCAAAGCTAATCTGTGACAGAATTCGATAAACGAACTTGTCTTGGTGTTTCAAAATCCTTTCCCATTCAAGTCCACTCCGACAAGCTGCTGGCTGGCTCCGTGGCAAAAGACATCTGCGCCCAAATGTCCACCGATTTGGTGTCAGTCGTACCGCAGATTAGCGACTATCTGTGTCCAATTTGCTTCGCCATCGCTTATAGGCCTGTCCGATTAGCCTGCCAACATGTATTTTGCATCCGGTGCATTGTCAAGATCCAGCGTCGGAAAGAGAACCACTGTCCTTTGTGTAGAGCAGACACCGTCATGAAGGCTTCCGCAGGTGAGTAGAACAAATTACTTGATACAAAGTGTAAACTGTCTGACACTGATGATCGCAGATAATCTGGATATTCAACTAGAGAGATACATGCGCAAGTACTTTCCCAAGGAGGCTAAGGAGAAGCAACGGGCCAACGAGATCGAACGAGGCATCGAAGACTATGGTCCCGAATACGTGCACTCTGAATGCTCCATCATGTAAATGTTGCCATGTTTTATTTTCTTCTTCTTCGCTTTCCCATAGATTTCTTAGAGATACCCTTGCCGGTTGTAGCTCGAGCTTCCGGTCGTGACGAGACTTGAATGTGAGAAATAGTCTTGCAGTCGTTACTGGCGAGTGCTTTCTCGCTACTCTCATAATTCTTGTCACCTTCAGCTTCTGCGTGCCTCCGCGCCCAACTATCCATTACCGACCCTCTACTACCGAGTTTTGCTGTGCGATTCAAGCATCTTGGGACATTTCAACTGCTTCAAGAGCACTGGTGAAAATCATTTGTAACTCGTCCGTCTCCTCCAGTCCGACACTGACGCGAATGAGGTCCGGATCAACACCCAGGCCGGCTGCCCAGTCGAGCTCTTGGTAATGCGCCAATAGTACGTAGGGCGATGTCAGAGTAAAGTTCGTACCCAGACTTGGGCCCTTGGCCGTCTCAATGGCGTCGAAGAACGCAATGGCGTGGGCCTTCTTGTGGAACGTGACCGAGAGAAGGCCGCCATAGCCTCCGCCGGGCAACTTGCAAAGATCGTAGTTGGGTCTCGTCGGGTTGACTCTGGGGTAATAGACGCATTTTACCAGCGGGTGGGCCGAGAGGATGTCGCAAATGGTCTCGGAACTCTCGTTGATACGCTCAATACGCGAGGCAAAATCGCGACTGTTACGCTCCATGAAAACGACGTCCTCTGGCCAGTACGTGTCTTCCAGGTCCTCGACCCAAGCAGCCTTCAGGGCCTGGTAATACTTGCCGCTTGGGTTCAGGATGGCGCTGCCACCCATGACGTTGCAGTCGCCCGAGAAGATCTTGGTCAGACTGCTCACGACGATGTCGGCGTATTGTAGCACGTCAATGTTGATGAAGCTGCCAATGGTCTCGTCTACAACGACGCCAAAGTCGTACTTATCTGCGAGGGTACGGATCCGCGCCAAGTTTGGACAGGTTAGGAGGGGGTTGCCGGGGAATTCACAGAAGAGCGCCAGGAAGCGCTCGCCACCCTCCAGACGCTTTTCGAGGTCGTCAAGATCTTCTTCTGAAGCGCGTCCGTAGAAGAGACAACCAGGGCCAAACTTTTGCAGGATCTTGAGCGTATCAACGTAGGGGAAGCCAAAGTTGACAGACTGGAGGTCGCCCCTGGCGCGCAGCATGGCCCTGTGGGCGTTGTAGATGGCGTTCATGCCGCACGGGAACAGGTATACGTCGCTCTCTTGCAAGTCCTTTTGATTTCTGGTGTTTTCTCCCATGGGAGGCAGTGAGCTGATGCTGGCCTCCATGTCGGCGGCCATGGCGCCCGCAATTCTACGCTTGATGGCCGACCTGGCGCGCTCGACGAGGGACAGGTCGAGATTGCGGCCAAAGCGTTCCTCGAGGAAGCGCAGGCTTTCTTGCGTTTCAAACGCACTCTGCGGATTCACCTTGGCCGCGGGGTGGTGAGTTGTCTTGGTGTCGTCGATGGAGGATGGGCGGTGGTATCTCTTCGGGCCTCTGTGGACCTTTCCCACTGGCGAGTTAGGCCTTGCCACGGGCACAAAGAGGCCCTCCTTTAGTAGACCGTGACAGAACTCGGCCCTTCTGCTTGAGATTCCGTCTCCTGTATGCTGCCAGTACTGCTTGGCGACGGGGAACACCTCGGGGGCATACACCACGGCAGAGACGGTTGGTGACAGGGAGCGCAAGAGCGGCGAGATATCCTTGGCCGTGTCGAGCCCGAAATCAATGACGGTGGCATCGGCAGAAATTGAAGCATCTGCGTGCTTCTTTACAAAGGCCAGACACCTTCTCGCAATACGAGGAGTGGGAAACAACATGGCCTTCTGATCAGAGGGGCCATGCTGTGCAATCAGATCTTCAGCCAAGGCTCCGATGCTCCTATGAATGAAGAATCTTGACAGGGTCATAGTCTCAGCCGGGTACACAGAGTTGATTTAGGAAGACGAGGCTTACCTGGGATATCCGGTTGTCATCCTATCGACGACCCATGACTCTCCCTCTTCATAGCCGACATTCGCCTTCCACGTAGGAAGCTGAACGCTCACTGCCTGCAGGGGTTGTCAGTAACGACGTCACGTGGCTCTGAGGCATGGAAAAGTGAAGCATGTGGGAAATGGCTGTGGCGTACATGAGCAGTGTCTGGCGGGATGGATTGTCCCAGCTCTATAGCGGGCATTTTGACAATCTTGACTTGGGCTTCTATCTACGTGAACTGCACGATATGTTAGACCTCAGTTAGAAGTGTGTATGTTTAGACCAGGGATTGACTTGCTCTAGATTTCACCGAGGTGATGGTGTGTGTGTGTGTGGGATTTTATGCGTCGTTGGACTGTATGAGAATGAGATGAGTCAAGTAGACTGAAGTTTGGATTGTACAAGATGTGGGTCAAGGCCGGTGTAGAAGTGGCTAAAGTAGGTAAGGTATCACGCAAGAGCCCTCCACACATACAATCTTTCCTCTTTTCCGCAGTCTATATCTGTCTCATTCTCTCTTTCTGTACGTGGGGGGTGTGTATTTGCGCACTTTTGAGATGAAAGATGGTACAGACGGGGTAAGATAGGGGAAATGGTGACCCGGTTCAGCATCTGTGGATGAGAATAGACTGTCAATTGCGAATCTCATCAAGTTTGCCTCCAATGTCACGCCGGTACTTGACTAGAAGTTGGTAGAAATCTGCCAAATCCCCAGGACTGGGAGTGTGTGTCACTGTGACTGGTAGTTGTTGGTCTGTGCCGTGGCATGCGGGGCGCCGAGGATCGGAGTGAAACCCCGTGAGGGGCATTTCGTCTCTACGTAACCGAGACCATGATCAAGACCCCAAAAATTTCCAGCTCTTAGACGTGCAGCTCGACTTTTATGCCATGAGACGAGGAACACTACTCAACGCCAGTCTAGCATTTTGATAAACTTGACCCAAGAGAAGAAACCATGTACACGCATTAAGAGATTAAGCGGACCTCCGTGTTGGCCCGTGACCAAAAGAGTACAGGGGCGTCTCTAGCATCTATCTCAATGTTCATTCCAAGCAAGCAAACGTACTTCAACATAATTTTACCTGATCACATTCCATATCCTCACTGCGGCGGCCTCAGCCTCAGCTTGCCATCATCACCCTTCGTGAATAAAACAACTGCCACGCCATGCATCCAAATCCGTGTCCAATCCGTAAATGCCAGCCTCTAAATAGGAAAAAAATGTACTGCAATAGCCTCGGCACTCGTTCTGTGCGGCCGAGTAATCTGTTGGTGGTTTGGTGTTACTCGACCATGGAGGTCTTGCCAGCCTCGACCGCTGTATCAAAACAATCTGGTGGAAGACACTCCGTTACCCTCTTCAATCTCGTCAATGGTACTGACGCCTGCTGGTCTTGCTGCCGATACAGCTGATGCTATCACTTGGTGCTACGCTGATAGCGTCGTCTTCCCAGGCACTACGGCCACTATCAATGCGGCTCTTTGGCGGAGGAGGAGCGCGTGCCGATACATACGTCGGTGCTCGCGTAGCAGGGGGGTAGGCGAAGACCGGTTGTGTGTTTCGAACCACCGTTGGGGGTCTACTTGGAGCTCTGGTAGGAGCTCTGCTCGGTGCCCTGCTCGGTGCCTTGCTAGGGACAACAGTCGGCGCAGCCTGACTGGGTGCCATACTCGGAGCTCGGCTGGGGGCCACAGTGGGAGCTCTGCTACGCGCAACAGTCGGAGGCCGGCTTGGCGCCCTACTCGACGCTCTGCTCGGTGCCATGCTCGGGGCCTTGGTGGGCGCGCGGCTCGGGACAAGACTGGGGGCCATGGTCGGCGCGCGACTCGGCGCACGGCTAGGTGCTTGACTCCGCCCGCCCAGGATCGTCTCGACACTAGGCGGGGGCGGGCGGACGGTGGATTGAGACCTTCCGCTTCGGGCTGAGACATAGGTTCCGGCATCGTCAAGGACGGTGCGGGGCACCGCCGACCTGCTGGCTATGCTGTGTCTTGAGCCTGAATTACTCTGGTGCTCGTAATCGGTGAGCATGAGGGGAGCGGTCCGGGGAACGGCGGCCTGGCTGCGGGATCGAACACTGCTGCCTCTTCCCCCTTCGAGCTGATAGCGAGACGAAGCCCGGCTGCGGGTGTCGTCGTACAAGTCATCGGCGGCACGGCTTCGGGCGCCGACCTGGCTGTACTTGGCCATGTACTGGGGAGGTGCTCGGTTATCCGCGAGAGCCGGGTAAGCCTCTGGATACCGAATCTTCTCGACGGTCCTCTCGACTTCGACATAGCGTCCGGCCTGCGGATCCGCATATTGATCGGGGAAAGTGGCACGGCGTTGGAACGGAGGGGCGGCTCCGGAGCCGTCAAACTCCTGACGCGGAGCTCGTGCACGTTCCTTTCGCATCATTCCGTATGTGACGGCAGCGCCGGCGGCGGCGCCAACAGCTGCACCTAAAAGACTTCCGACAAGGGTGTTGGTAGTGATGCCGCTCGATGGAGAGGGCTGGGAAGGAGTTTCGTCTCTCTTTGACGGCGATTCGATGACAGAGGTGGTGACGCTTCGACGGAGCATTGTGTAGGGGGGTTCGTTACCGGGAAATGTCCCAGAGCGAGCAGCCATGGCGAAGACAGACGAAAAGCTTCCGGCAGAAGCGGAACCAGAAACAGAAGGCGGCGGCGGCGGTTCGGATGCTGCAACGTCGTAATTCCAATCCAGGATGCGACCAGCCTCTTCCGTGGTAGACTGTGTTTTTCGAACAGTCGACCCAGCATAAGAGGGAGGATAGTTGGGAGGGGGTTGATATACAACCTCCATGGTGTTACCATCCAAGTCGGTCACAGTGGCCCGGTGGATATCGCCACTCTGAGTGATTAAAGCGGGTCGAGTGAACTGATCAGCCGGGACGTTAGACAGCAGGTTTGGATTGGCCCGCACAGCAAAGGCGTGGAAGTCGGTGACAGCTGTGGGGGAGGAAGCAGAAAAGACGGCGCGAGAAAGCTTCAGGGGCTCGCTGGAATTGCGGGCCTCGCGGATTTGGAAAATGGGGGTGAGCGGGGATAGTATACCGTACGTGACGGTGCTGGGAAGTCTGATGGGGCTTGAGGTGGTGATGGTCGTCTTGGAGTCGGTGTCGGCGTCTTCGTTGGCGTTGGCGTTGGCGTCCGGGGGAGCGGTCTGCGAATCCGTAGATATATAGTGGATGCCCAAGGGTTGGAGGACGGCCGAGTAGAAGGAAGTTGAGGAGGGAAGATGGGAGACATCAAAGTAGGGAGTCATTTGGGGCGGTTGATGGTAAGAAGCCAATCTATAACCAGATCAGGCGGCTGTTTGAGGAAGGCGAGAGTGAAGCGAAGGGCTATGTGACAGGGCGAGAACAGTTGGTTGCGTGTAAGTGCCGTTGCGCTTCCGCGGACGCGAGGGAGGAAAAGAGGCGCAGACAGGCGATTCGAGCTAGCTAGGCTTGGTGGCAGCGTGGCAGCCTGGTTGATTTGTGCGTCCGTCGAGGTGGTTGCAAAGAAAATTCCGAGTGAAACTATCGAGGGCAACCTATTGATAATGGTGTGAAGGTTGGTAGTAGTAGTGCGCGGTGAGTGGTGGACTGGTGGTGGTGATGGTTGTAGTGCTAGTGGGTGATAAGATATCGACAAAGTCCAGTAGGTAATGGGCAGCGTAGCACTGGTGGCAGGAGACCCAAGTATACCCAATTTAGATAGATAGACAGACACTAGAATGCTAAGGTAAAAAGAAACGGGAATAGGCATCAACTGGAAGTCCAACTTCCCAAATGCTGCGTGGAAATAAATGCTTAAAAGAGATCCCTCTGAGTCTGACCAGGGGGAGGAAAGAGGGCACACGCAACCGACATAAACCAAGCCGTGTGAATGTCAAGCAAGCCTGCCCGCAGACATGTGTCTTATGTACCTTACCTTACTCCGTACAGCGTCTCTGACAACCCTATCCACCTGCAACTGCAAGTAGCCATACGGATACCGGGACTTTGTCTTCAGGGTTCGGCGTGCCTAGGTAAGGTATCATCGGCGGCACACCTCCATCACCCCAGTAGCACGGGGCCGCCATAGACTGACAGCCTGTTCCTGCTGCCGAGCCCAATCCCACTCACAAGTCGGTTATCCTGCTCCAGTGCTGTCTCAGTAAGTCGGTCTCACTCTCGCCCAGTGCCTTCTGGCCAAATCCAATATGCAGCAAGCCCGTTCCGGTCGAGTCCGGTGCAGCTGCGATGGTGGGTGGTCGACTGCAGCTAATGGCCAGTGAAGGAAGTGACATGTCCACACTGCGCCGGGGCACCCAGCCGGAGACCTCAGACGGAAGCATACGGTCACCTTCATCTTTTTCTGCGCCTATGAAAGTTGAGGCTATCCCAATGCCGCGCCAGCCAATTTGGCATAGCCTGTACAGAGTACAGACATACGAATTCCAACTACGTGTAATTTGCCCCATCGTCCAGATATTTGTTTTTATTCCCTCGTTCTGAATGGTGACTGGTGGCATCAGACCGTGGCCAGGCCCAACGATTTACAACCGGCCAAAGGCAAACGCCGCTTGGTATCGGGAGCCGAATGTGGTAAGGCCATGATCAATCATTCTAATATCCGTACGTCTTCCTTCAAAAGTCACGCTCCGTGAGTCTATCAAGAACATCCCCCGAAAAGCTGTGCCCGACCGAGTTGCGCACTGGGGCTGGGCTACGTGTACATGGAAGACCGAGGACCGAGAAGTGAAGTGTTGCTCAGGGGGGGGTACGGAGTAGATCGTCCTGCAAGCAGCCACGCCTGCCGCATCTCACGATCTGGATCGCGTCGAGAGCATGATCATCGATGTGTACTCTGTATTATTCGGGACCCTCACTCTGCGTCCGTACGGATACTGGCACTGGAGTGTTTTATCGCGTCGTGTCGTGCCGTGTCGTGTCTGGCTGCTATTCGCCTCTTCAAGCCCCGCCTTGACCCCCGTTGCCCTCATTGCTGCATACTCATTTGTCGTGCCCTGAGTTAAACCAGGATGAGATTAGCCAACCTCTCGGGACCGCTAGAAAGATGGAAAGAAATAGTATCCGTAGAATCCTCGGTCCATACGAAGGCTGGAGGCGGTGGAAGACTGGAAGTACACCTAGAGAAAAGTCACGTTGAGTGCTATTAGCAAGTGACAAAGTGAACTAGAAATATTCAAGACTTTCGGGTAGTAAGTGAGCTAAACAGGCCGAGAAATGCCGCACTGCAGATTAACGAAAGGCGGTCGTCAGAAATCACTGGGACCATAAATCGCGTCTAGAGCTGCTGTCATTGGATGAAATGAACGGAGGAGTGCGCGGGACTCGGGAGCGTTTGTGGCATCCAAGTGGTTCGGTGGAATCAGTAAAAAGCCGCTCGTTGCGCGCGTTCCAAATGAAAGCGGTTGGCTGCTGCGTGGCTCTCATGTTCTAAACGGTTAGATACCGAGTACGGAGTACCTAATACTAAGTACCAACGGATAATATACTAAGGTACTCCGTATTTCCTGATAGGCGGCCCGGTGGACAAGCTTGGCAAGCACGGTATCTGTAAGGTCAAAGTCAAGGGCACCTCGTCAGGTTTTCACACATCAAAGTGCAAATGGAAGGAAAGAATCCACCTTTACCGTCTTTCAATAGTCAAAATAGGAAGATATTAAGGCAGGCACGGATACGGGTACTTTAGACTTCAATGTTTCAACCTGCACCGGCGACTTCCAAAGCGCTTCCTTGGCTCATGTACATCTATATCAAATTGGCCAGCCACCTCAGCTAAGGCAAGGCAAGGTTCTTTGAGAGGTACTTCCAATCTTCGCATCTCTCTGTAACTCACCGCATCGAATCCGCTTCCATCACGTCGCAGCTTGATAGGCTCTTTTGCGGCTTTGCCTTGACCGACTTACCCTTCTGTATACTCTGTGAGTATGGATATCAGTTACCAACAACGGTTTTGCGCGATCCCGCGTCTCTCCACTTTGCTTGCGCACCGCAGGTGCCAACAGTAACACCCAGCCTCGCACTTTCCAGCTCGCGTGCTTCCATCAACTTGGCTGGTGAGTTGGCCATGCCGCCCATCGTCGGATTTCAGCACATTCAAGTCCTCGACTCCATACCACAAGGGCACTAATGCAACTATACGTCCACCTTGTCTGCTGCCCAACCTCCCACCAGCTCGAGCCCCCGGGCCCGTACTTGTTTGATGAGCTCGGTACGGAAAAAGTCCAGTCAGGGCGCATGCGGATGCGCATACATAATTCCTCTCAGCCACTCGGGCACATCGGACCGCGCCGCCCTATTCCAAGGCCCCCCCCCCCCAGCTACCTAACTTTTGTCAATTCTGTCAACTTTGTCTGTCAAATCTGTCACATCCAGCTCGTCAAGTTATGCGGTGTACACACCAGCCCGGGTCTGACTCCCTCACCATGCATGGCAAGGCGGACGAGCCTCACTACTGTCGCGTCTCGTTCGTCCCTGAGCAGACTGAGGTCACCAACAAGACTTCCTTCTGCTTCCATACGTTTTTGCTTCCAGGTTCCATACCTTAGTTGCCTGCTCCAGAGCCAGACTCCAGCCCCTATTACCGCCATTCCGGGCCCCTGACTCTCCTGCCGTCACTCGTCTGTCTCCCCGCCTCAGTCCACTCAGGCGTCAATGATATGCCAAATCATCATCGCAACTGTCACCTAACACGGGTCCTACACATTTCATTGGACCGCACCTGTAATCTATGCCATCGGTCGATCAGCCTCCCAGCAACACATGTCTGATTCCTTTCGCCCTCTCTCCCCCGTGATGCCAACAGCACGTAGCTGAGGAAGCTAGGCAGACATACATGGCATCGTAACATTCGTCGATTGCAGTGCGTTCCTCGGCATACACGCATGTTGGTCACATTGAATGCACAGGAGATTTGGTTCGTCACCCCATCAATACAGTAGATATCTTGTCTTTCTCAATAGCCTCCCAAGTCAGAGGCTTTGTACATTTTGACGGCATAGTCGCCAGTATCCAGCCATACACCTATTATTCCTTGCGACGTTTCTCTTTTCCCATTTTGTCTCGGCTCCCCAGCAATCTCGCTGAGCGTTTGATCTCGACACACCGTTTTTCAAGTGAAAATCGAGATGAGGCCCATTTACCACGACACTTGCCGAGAGCACCAAAGATACTCCTCTGCTTCCGGCAGCAACAGTGTTCAAGACCGCCATCCTTACAGGTCCTGAAGAAGGGGCAAACAAAAAGAAAGGACGGCCCAAGTTGAAATTGGACCGCCTAGGTGAAGAAAGCGTCTTGGACCCGTTGTTGAACGCCCCGGTTTTGGTTGCAAAAACAGCGACAGCGCTAGCACAGGTGACCCAAATTTCCGAGGTTGCGTGCGGACACCATGATGTTGTATCGCGGTTCCATAAGCTAGACCCCTTGACTTTCGATTTGCCGCTCTGGGCGCATATTGCGTCTCCACGCGCCTAAAGGTCACCACTTACATTGCCGCTCTTATTCGTCGTCTCTGCCGCCTGAATTTATGTCTCTGCAACATCAACGACTGAGTCGATATCGAGATTCGACTACTGAATGTCCCAGGAATCCTCGGCGGCGTGGCAAAACTTGCTGCATGCGACGCTGGCGGACAAGCTGTAGTTGCTGATGGAAATCTTCTCGTCCACGAGACCATCAGCAAAGGTATCGGCACCCTTGGCCATGGCACCGACGAAGACGCAAACACTCTCCTTGGGAGCGAGGGTGTCGATGTAGTCCCTCACGTGTACCAGAGGGGCCTCGAAACTGAGGGTGACCTTGCGGCAGTTGGGCGGAAGGTGATCGGTGATGGGGTTCTGGATTACGCGAAGAAGCTTCTCCTGCGAGTTGGTGGAGCGGATAGACAAGCGATGCAACAGCTGAACCATCAGACCGGCAAAACGCTTGAATGTACGTGGGATACGGACAGACGGCGAGACCTCAATCAAGACACCCTTAGCGGTGTGAATGTAGATCTGAAGCTTGCCAGCCTTGTTAATGGGAGAGTCGAGCAGGGTCAGGAGGCACTAGTCAGTATGGTCAGCATGTTGGATGCAGACTTGAAGGGCTAGGCGCGTTGAGGCGCATCAGAGAGCAAAGGCAGTAGCAGAAGCAAAAGCAGTTCGCTGGTAGTATCCAACCTGATGTGTAATATCCGGGCGCGCATCACTGATGTCACGATTCATCTTGCGCATAACTCCAATGTGCTCGTCGCTGTTGAGTAGCGAGTACTTCTCCTCACGCTGGACGCCGTTGCGACCAGTACCGCCATGTGAGGCCTTGTACGTCTCGAGACTGGCGTTGGAGAGAACGACGATGAGGCGCTGAGAGTCCTTGTCGGTGAATGGGATGGCGGTGTGCTGTTCAGCAACCAGCTGAGGGAGAGCTGGAGGAGGAAGTGACTGGGTGCCTAATGGGATACGCGCGTTAGCAAACCACGTTGACAGATTATGGCTAGCTTTGCAGGCTTGCCCTTGTGCGAACTATCTGCCGTGTCTTCCATAGTGTCGCGATTATCTGCGTCGTACTCTTGGTTTGTTTGGGGTAAGAGATGGGTAAAAAGTGTGCAGGGCGGCGCGGGGTAACTACGGCTTATAACCAACTCATGCAATGGCCCGCGCAATCGGAAGAACGGTGACTGGCAGAGAGGTTGACCGCGAGAATGAAGGCTCCCGGAATGACAGCGGCAGACAATCGCAATAGGTAGTAGCCTTGGACTCGGGTTTTGCACTTGATGCAAGGGAAACGTGAGTCGTGCAAGGGACACACATTGGGAACTTACGAGGTCGCTTGACACCAGCACGGGCCTCTGGGGAAGACATGTTGATTTTTTTTTGGGAGGGAGAATTCGAGGATCGGGTGGTAGGATCTGGTGCAAGGTTTTCCAAGCTCCTTCTTCTTCTTCTTCTTCTTCTTCTTCTTCTTCCTCGTTCCTTCTTTTCTCGTTGCACAAAGAGGAAGGCGCGTACAGCAGGCGCGTTGTTGCACACAACCGGAAAACGATGTGAAGTGGCAATGAGAGATTAAAAAATGAAGATAAAAAAAAGAGGTGAAAATTTCAATTGACAGATATGAGGCCAATCTGGTCACTGAGGATAGGGAAGGGACTGAGTGAGTATGCGGTAAATGGTGAAGAGGTGAGTGTGAGTCGAGAGGGAGGAATGTTGGTTTTTGAATTTTTTTCGACGGGTGAGGGATCAAATCTGAGGGAGGATGATTTAGGCCGAGCTGCGAGGGAAGAAGATAAAGCCAGCAAGCACGGGTTAAATGGTGGCTTACCTTATGGAGGGATACTCAACACTACAGTTGTACGGAGGACCTGCTGGGGGCCCTGGGACTTTGGGTGCGGGGTGAGTGTGATGGAAATGGAGCTCGGATACATTCACACAGTGTCAAACTCATCTTCTCGTGAAAGTTCCGCTTCAAGAGGCCTCGCTCACGACAGTGCGAGGCTGGTGTGCCAGAGGGAGGTACTTCTGTATCGTCGCGTTGAGTGGAGGACTCATCTGCGGTCCCATTTCAGCAAACTCAGGCCCACCTCGACTACCTAGGTTCTCTCAATTCTCCGCTGCATTTCTCGCACGCTCAGAGTCTCGACTCACGGCACCCAGATTCTGCTCGGCTCGGGTCTTAGCCACTCGACTTTTAGCCGCTACGGCGAATGTTTGCCGAGCCATCAACTATGTTACAACCCAACAGAAACATCAAGTCTTGGGTTCCTTGTCCTCCGCCATACTTGGTATATTGGCCATGACTACTCCGTAGCTAAGGTACCTAAGGTTTCCTCCATCAGGTGTCCCAAGGCCTGTCTCCTCTCAGCGAACTTAACGGGTCTCTTTTACACCTATCGCTCCGTCAATATGCGTCGAAATCCACCTGTATCGGAGACTTCAGGCCTCAGCCTATTCCGTATCAAAGCTGCTACCCGCCGTAGACTTTCGCATCCTAAGTGTTTTTCTTCTTTGTAGCAGCATGCGAGATCGGTGTCTTCATATGCCCATGGCTATTAATGCCTCGGTGAGCATGCGGTGCGGCCCACCAGCTACCCGGTAGTGGAAGTAAGATAAGTACGGAGTACACCATGTAAGTGTTCCAGCCACCTATAAACTCTGAGTTGGCCGAACGTCGAAAACCCTCTGCCGCAGTGGGATGAAGGACGTACAAACCTCGGCTGTCCCAGCAGACATCATCTCACATGAGTAAATGTAAACGCCTTGGCTACTCGTTCGATATAAGGGTCGGCCCTTTGAATTTCCAAGACGACAGAAAGGTCACGGCTTGCAAAGTCTTGTGTGAAGAATTCCTTTGCATTGTATCAGTCTGAGGCTCTCACAGAGTATGCTTCCGATGACCAAGCCGCTAAGGAAACGCCCACCCAATTCTAAGAGAACCTGCCGTGCTATCACAAGAGGCAGTATATCTAATAAGCAGAATTGCCCCTAAAGCCAGATGGTCGTTGGCTGGGGAGACATGTAGTGCTATTTTCGCAGTGAGCGTAGGTATTGCTCCGCCTTGCATATGGCTTACGCCCTGAGGTAGGACTGTCCTGTCTGGAATACATGACCGACATTTAGACATCAAGGCAGCTAGCTGATCGACATAATCGTTCCCCGTTCGAGGGCGGGCTCGGAAACGCCCGTGTCCAATCACACCGGCGATGTTTCTGACTTCAAGACAAGAAGAGAATTTACATCTCAGATCTGAAACTAAGAGGTAAACCTCCTAGGGACTGTTGAAAGTGAAAGAGATTGCGTGGCTTGATCAGCTACCTATCTTAGCTCTTGACACGGCAGACCAAGGTATCTTATCTTAAAACAACTCTCGTGTCCTAGGAAGCTGTCACAGAAAGCCACAGGCCAAGCCAAACAACCTCGTCTAATTTAAGGTTATCTTAGCGTCTGATCTTTCCGTTCTGTCGGACTCCAATCTGGCAGGCCAGAAAAAGGTCAGAGTGTCGGCGAAAACATGGCCCGCTAAGCCAATGAGAAGCTAGGAAGCACACCCCATTTTTTTCTTTTCTACTCCCTCCAGGAGGGCCATGGGACATATGGCGTCGAGGTCACCATCATAGGAAGGCATCCCATCTACCGCGCGAAACTCTCTCAGTAGCTCACACTTCACGACCTAAGAGCCCGCGTGGAATCGAACTCGACAGACCGAAGTGACTGCCATTGTCATCCTACCCATCGCCCACCATGTCAGCCCAGACAATGGCGCAAGCGCGCGCAGTCGTACGCGAACTCAACGGCGTCGTCGTGAGCGCCGGGCTCATGCAAAAGACAGTCAAAGTGCGCGTGGGTGGCCAGCAATGGAAGCAAAAGGTTCAAAAGGTAAGCATATCGAACCCCGGAGGATTCCCCAACCCTTCGATCTGCTAGTACCGTATCTCGGAGACTTACCACACACCGCGGCTTTCCTAGATGTTCACGAAACCAACGCACTACCTAGTCCACGACCCCAACTCATCCCTCCGCACAGGCGATGTCGTTTCTATTGTTCCCGGATGGAGGACGTCACCTCACAAGCGTCACGTCGTCAAGAGCATCATCGCGCCCCACGGTACCCCCATCTCAGCGCGTCCGCCGGTGCCGACCGAGGACGAGAGGATTGCGGCCAAGGTTCAGAAGAGAGAAGCAAAGGTTGCTAGAAGAGAGACGCGGAGGCAGGAGAAGTCTTCAAAATCAAACCCTGAGCCCGAGGTCGACTGAGGGCTTGGTCTGACGGAAAGGAAAAAAACTATCTTACACACAGAACCAGGAAAAGGTTCAGTGTGGATTGCAACACAACACTGTACAACAAAAATGAGGAGGGGAAGAGGGTTGATACAGCGCTGGGCATCGTCTTTAGTCAACGACGTCCTTGGCCTGATATGTAGTTGGAGTCGTGTGGGCGAAGCTTCAAGGTCACTGGCGAATCATCGTACAAACGCCAGCACTATTGTAGTAGTCTTGTCTGAGCCATTTACGCAAAATATTTTGTAAAACTCGATTTGTCTTGTTCCTTTACCGGTAATCATGCGCTTCTGGAGGGTATCACTTTCACGTGCGCTCCCTAGCCAACCGACCAACTGCCATATCTCGCATAAACAAAAAGAATCCCAAAACACCCGAAACCTCACATGCCTATTGCCCTACATCATCCTCCTCGCTCGCCAAACTCTCTGGCCCAGTCCTCATATTCTTTCAACCCAGTCTTGCTTACACTCGGTCGAATAGTAGTCAAACTTGCCTCAAAGTCTGCTAATGAAATTGGCCGAATTTCATCCATAGTCATGTGCAAGAGAGCCTCGCCCAAAGAGCGGAGCGGACCCATGGCCGCATCTTTAGCCAAGGCCGTTATGTCGGAACCCGAGAACCCTGTGCTTATGTCAGTACCAGCTCTGGCAGTCCAGTAGTCTCTGGATCGACGGCGATTGGCTTACCATCTGTAAGGAAAACGAGTTTCTCAATGTCTGTATCAGACAGGACATGCTTTTGCTGCCCCAGGAGTGTTCGAAACTGGGTAGAGCGAGTCTCAGACTCGGGCAGCGGTATGTATTGCCGCCTCACAAACCTGCGGCGTGCTGCTTCATCAATGGCCCAAGGCAGATTGGTTGCTGCCAAAACGAGCACTCTGTTCGCATCTCCTCTGCTCTTGTCCTTTTCGTCGACGGTTCGACCCGCCGCAGCTCGCTGTAAATCGCTCCATTGTATCAGAAACTCGGTCTTGATCCTCCTTGTCGCCTCGTGCTCTCCCGACCCAGATCTCTGAGAAAGTAAGGAGTCAATTTCGTCGACGAAGATGATGCTCGGCGCCAGAGTCTTTGCCAGAGAGAACAATGCTCGGACGAGCTTCTCTGATTCGCCCAGGTATTTACTCGTCAAGCTGCTTGCTGATATTGAGAAGAACGTCGATCGCGACTCTGTTGCCACAGCACGCGCCAGCATGGTTTTGCCAGTACCTGGCGGGCCAAAAAGTAGCATTCCTCGTGCAGGCTCCCGAAGTCCCATGAATAGGTCCGGTCGTAAGAATGGGTAAACCACGTTCTCCCTGAGTGCGTTCTTGGCTACTTCCAGGCCGGCAACATCGCTCCATCGGACCTCGTCGCCCTGAACAATAATCTCGTTGAGAATTTGCTTCGCGGCTGCCTCGTCTACGCCGGCTGGCAAGTTTTTCATAATCTTCTTCTTTGTTGCCTTCCAGGCCGTTTTGAGCGAAGAGTCCCCATTCTCATCATCGGCAGATGCTTCAGAGGAAGGTGCTTCAGCATCAGCTGCGATTGCATTTTCTTTCCTCTTTCCCTTTCTTTTTTTGTCGGATACCTTGGTATTCTTCTCTATGCTGTCCGAGCAACTGGAAGACGAACGGCCCCGTGGCGGTTGTGCGTTACGACGAGTTTGTTCGGCTTTGTCTTGTTCTGATCCGCTCGTGAGATTATGACTGGACCGAGTAGGTACGTCTCCGACTGGCTTCCTCCGGATTTTGGCCACGTCTGGCGTAGTCTTGCGTCGCAATTCTGACTCGTCAGCGTCAGACGATGGCGGCCGTTCATGAGACGATACTTTGGATCGCGAGGTTGAGAATGTTTGGTCTCTCGAACGCGGGGTCCGTTCTTGCCTTGGGGTGCTATGTTCGGCCGTTGGAGCATCTTGGTACGACATGGCATTCAAAGCACTAGATGCCGCGCTTACGGACAAGGCTGAAGGCCTCACTTGCGATGAGTCCTCAGAGGTTCTTGCGCTACCAACCGCATCAGAGAGAGGCGTATGAGCTTCTCTAGGCGTCACGAGCCGTCGGGTATGTACGTCCCATTGCATGCCAGATGAGGACAGCGGTTTGCGGGACTGCTCGGCAGGTGTTGCAGGCGCAGATGAGACTTCTGGTACCGCCGGAGACGCTCTGGCTAGTCTTTCTCTAGAACCCAGAGCAGTCCATGCAAGAGTTGCAGCCTTGCTGGCACCAGGTCCCTCGGTCTTAGACAATTTGCGACTTGACTTTGCAGACTTATCGCCTGGCTTTCCGGTTCGCAACGTCGTCCGCATTGTGTATTTCTCAGGACTCGGAGACCTCATGGTCGGTTCTTTCCTAGACGTTACTCGGGGAGAGTTTGATGGGCCGGCAAAGGGAGAGGCTACGGGGTTTTGGTCGCGACCGACTACAGCCTGCTCAGATGATGTTCTGTAGGGCAACGAAGGTCTTTTTGGCAAGGCGGGCCGTGAGAGATCGGGGTATCTTATCGCTGGAATTGTCCCCTGGCCAATGTAGCCTCTTTCTGGAGTAGACATGGTGTATGGGTCGGGGGAGATGGAGCGGCTCGGGGCGGGTGAGTTGGTGGGTTGAGGAGTCAAGGCGTCTTGTCGGGATATTCGTAACGCTTCAAGCAGGTCAATGCGCTCCTTGCACTGCAGTTCGAGCTTGCGCAGAGAATCTATCAAGGCGTCTTCTGTTTCGGTTCCAGCAACGTAATTGGGTAGCAGCTTGGTGATGCGTTGGTCGTTGAGCTGATCTAGGGCATTCCTCCAGCATCGCATCGCCTCGGTCTCGTCACCCTAGGACACGGGGAAACTTGAATCAGCACAAACGAATCATCCGCGGGTGCGCTACGCCATTGAAGTCCGGACCAAGTGGGAAATACCTGGCTTTCATAGTAAACAGCAGTGGAGCATTTCAAGTAGCTGTCGTCGTATGTCTTCTGGAGGATGGCAAGGCCCCGGGAGCGTGACATGGTACTGGAAGCCAGACCATAGTACATTCAAATCTGAGTGGAGACGCGTTGTTGCTCTGACGTTGCGATGCAATTTGTCACGATCCGGAGCGTCGAAGCAGTCGAAGGGAGTTTTTCACCGCGGGGATGGAGTTGGTCGAACTGGAGCTGAGGTTCAGGTCAGGCAAAGTTCAGGGCCAGGATGCCTTTGTTTCTCTTGCAGTGGGATTGCCGGCGAATGATGGCGGGGGGGGACAATTGAAGGCTAGTGGGCCGCAGTGACGTCGCTCTTGGTGGCTGAGTGGGGGTTAAGGTAGTGGAAGGACGGGCGGCAACTTCCAGTGGAGGTCATCTGCAGCGTGGCACGCGTCGGTAGCTAGCTCCCTACCACTCTTACCTAAGGTACCTGAGCTGACTTAGGTAAGTTGCAGTGGAAGTAATGAACGTGAGTTCGATCAGGTGCCTGCTGTACCAACGTGTGAATTTCCCTTAAGTTGTGACATTTGAAGATGCTCGCATAATGTCAGTTGCACCCCTGGGTAGGTCAACACCGAGACCAGCCAAGCACCTGACGACACTATGACATCTCAGGTACCTACGCTGTAAGTCACAAAGCATACTTGCGAAAAACATATCTCACATCGTCCGTACACCAAATTAGGAGACAGCAACATTCTGGGACAACTGGTCATTGAAGGTAGAGAAGGCCTTGTGGCTTCATCTCTTGTCATTTGTCTACCTGCCACATAGTCCCAGCCAAAGTCTCGACTTGATCTTGGGACAGATCTGGTCGAGCAAGATATCATCCCAGGAAGAATTTTGGAGCTTGGTCAAGCTCATCTGCCTGTCCAGCGCAATACGAGTTGGGTCAAAGATGACCTTGCATTACTGCAGCATCATTTACATCGCTTCGGTGGGGGCCTTGTAAGTAACGTATTATTTGCCAGACACATCCGGCTGTCCTATTGCGTTCCCTTCAAGACAAGAGGACCCTGATCTCCCCCGATGTTCTTGGAAATAAGTCTCGCAGCAACTGAGACTCGTCACCCTCATCGGCCGACGTATTGTCACCGGCCGACAGCTCGTCTGCCAAAAGTAACATCTGCTCGACATGCTCAAACTCGTCGCAGAATCTCTCCGCAGCCTTCTCCGTGAGCTCTCTCGCTAGACTTGAATCTTGCAGACGCTTCACATTTTCCATGGCGTCCATCAGCGCCGATGGTAAGAAGTCGTCAAGAGCCTGGCTGGCTCGGCTCAAAGCTGACGGCTGTACCTCCTCAAGCGACGCTACCTTCTTCACATCGCTGGCTTCTGTTGTAAAATTGCTCAAAGATTCAAGAATCTGCTCCAGACCAGAACCACGACGGAAGAATTGGTATTGCTCTTCCGTGAGCTTCTTGCTCTCCTCCACAACCCTCTCTTGCAGCCGCTGTGTTCTTCTCTGAGTAAAGTCGAAAGGTTCGAGAGCATGCTTTGACGCGAGCAAGCAGTTGGTTATGAAGATGGCACCAGCCGATTGTCTCACACCTTTGGCCATATTTTCGCAACCTGCCAAGAAGGGCTCAAAGGCCTCTGCAAGAATTGGTTGGAAGTCGGCTTCGCGATCCGATGACGATGCCATCGATATCTCGTACGTTTTCATGACCGCAGTAAGCTGCTTCAGCGCTTCGAGCAAAAAGTCTGGAGGGACAAGATCCGAAGGCGTCTGCTGGAAATCGCCCTGTAGAGTTGCGATGTGATCCCTCATGAGCGATCGGAACTGCCTTAAGGCACCTGATTCGAGTCCTGTCATGAGTTCCAAAAGAGCACACTCGCTGCCCAGAAGTTTGGCAAACGTGTATCGATAGAAGCCAAGAATGTTCGCTAACTTGTAGGCGAGAATAGTCTCTTCGTTGGACTGAATGACCTGCTCGACCCTTTGCCGCAGCATTCTCGTTGCCCCTGAGACATCCCGGTCCACCAGGTCGTTTAACGCCTTGAGAGCATCAAAGTCGGGTGCTGTGTCAGCGTCACCCTCGCCGAGAAGCTGCCAGAGCTCATTAGCTCGTCCAGTCTGGAGTCCCTTGGCAATTTCGTCGCCTTCCGACACAAAGAGTATTTCCAGAGCCTCTCTTTCGCTAACAGTGGCCGAGTGTATCCAGGCAAGCATGTCGCCCACATAACGGAGTGGATCGTGGGCAGCCATCTCAATGGGCTTAACCGAGTGATCTTCGAGTCCTGCTGTCGTTGTGCCCGTTAGGGCAACATGAAAAGAGTCGGACAGGATGCGTTCTCTAGCTTCCGCAAAGAAATCCAGG